AACCCAAATTTGAAATTTATTAATATACAAAACAGAGCTCATGTGTGGTACAAAATACTGTCTTCTAAATTATTCCTTCTGTACATTTTAATTTTTATTAGTTATATTTTCTTAAATATGTTTTGTAGGGTGCAGCATGCCTATAACAACTGCTTGCTGCCCTTGAACTCTGAATGAACACTTTACTGCAATCCCTTTCCTTAAATAGAATCATAGAATATTAGCAGAGAAGATTCCTTAGAGATCATTTAGAACTACAGTTCTCAGCCTTTGCTACACAGTAGAAACACTTGTGGAACTTTTAAAATATACAGAGGCCCAGGCCTTCACCCCAAACCAATTAAATCAGAATCTTGGGGTAGAGGAATATCAGTATTTTTTATAAGCTCCACAAGTGGTGGGATCAAGAACCACTGATACAAACTTGCATTGTCTGATACCATAGTCACTGGCCACACGTGGGTCTTGAGCACTTGACATGTGGCTAGTCCAAACTGAGATATGCTACAGTTGTAACATAGACACTGGATTTCAATGATTTAGAGAAGAAGAAAGAGAAGAAGAAGTAGGAGAAGAAGAAGGAGAAGGAGAAGGGGAAAGAAAAGAACAGAAAAGGAAAGGAAAAAGGATGAAAGAATGTATAGATTGATTATCTGTTGAAATTATAATATTTTGGATACATCGGGTTAAATAAAATATGCTATTAAAATTAACTCCATCTGTTTCTTTTCACCTTTTTAATGTGGCTAATAGAACATTTAAAATTACATATGTGGCTCCCACCATGGGCAGTGCTGGTTGAGCCCAATACTCTTGTATTACAAATGAAGAAACTGAGGCAGAGAAGCATAATGGCAGCTCTTTGGGGATGGATTCCCCCTTCCAGTCTTAGGCTTTTCCTGTTGCCGTACACCACACTGTCGCAGAGCCAATGGCAGAGCCTGTTAAGCTATCGGTTGGATTTCAAACTCTCCCTCTCTCTCATTTGTCTCACTAATTGTTTCTTCTAACAGTTGATACTTAAAAATGTATTTTACTTATGGAAAATATCCCCTCTCTGCTGTGCATACATTTGTGATTTGTTATTGCAGGGTTATTGGTAAAAGCAGGGTAGCTGGAATGGATATTAAAAAATAAATCCAGGCAACACGAGCATAAGGCAAGTGCAGAAAATGGAAGAAGAGAATCGTATACCACGCTGTAGTTTAGAAATGACCCTGGAGGCCCTCAGCCTTCTGAGAGCCATCTTCAACACAGCATACGTCCCTGCTCAGAAGCTGGAGCCTACAATATTGGTTTTCCTCCTAGGAGTCAATGTTTTTCTGGACAACGTTGTCATTGCTGTGAGGCAAAGCAGGCTCTTCACAATGGCGCACCACATCACAGCGAGGTACCCTGGTGGAAATGGACTTTATCCTCAATGCCTTCTACCCTCTGATGCATGGGTTATTAATACCTGGCCATTCAGAAACCAAACTTACTTAAAGAAGAAAATCTTGTTTTGATAAAGTGAAATGGTCCTACCAGATCTAGCAAGTGGAAATTAAATGTATTTCTTCTAATAATCAGCTAATTCAAACAAAAACAAAGATTTTTTTTGTTGCACGTGTTTTCCCCCTTGGGAAGTGAGGAAGGAGAGAGACAATTGCATAAAACTGGCCTAAATGTGTTATATTTGAGAAATCATTTCTGCAACACAGGAGCTCTTCAGTGTAATAAAAGAATAAAAGAGATCTGAATTCTGATACAATACCTTTATGCAAAAAGCTGGAAAGGAAACCTATAGGTCAGGCCAAACAACGCATACAGTAGATGCATTCGAGATTTTATTTAGATATTCTTGTTTCCCATCCTAAATACAGCATAGCCTAAATATCATCTTAAATCAAATGTTTGGAGTTCTGCAGCCCTCTGTGTTGCATGCATGATTTTTATTAGCTATTAATCAAGTTTTGCCACTTAAACCTCAAAGAGCGTACTTCCAGACTCAACTCATTCCTTACCAACTCCAAACACTCTCATATACAACGAAGAAAGATAATATATTATAGACAGGTCCTGGGCAAAAGTACATCTGCTGGAAAGAACATAGCACTTGTTGCTTTATTGGAGAAACAGAAAGATTATTTATTTTAACTTTAAATAATTTTTTGGATACCTTCCTCAAACATAATAAAGAAAAGGCAGGAAATAAAGAATGTCACTACCTTGTTCTGAGACAGTCTTTTAGAGCATGTTTAGTTTTGCCTGGCTTTTCTCTCAAATGGAATCTGGCTGGTGTAGTTTTATAGGGCATGCCTAATGATGATGGAGAAGAAGAATTTAAGTTAAAATCCATTAAGGAGGCCCATATTAGAAAAATTAGCATTGCAGACATTAAATAAGAATAAATAGAATAAAAACTACAGTTTATTTGGTCAGGGCATTCATTCAAAAAAGAGCTGATGAAACTTTGACTTTGAAAGGTTAGCAGTCAAAAGGCTTGGAAAGGGCAAAGTGGCCAAAGCCAAGGGTTATGCGCCATTCACGACAAGGGCATTTATGGCAGCCTGGCTCATGGTAAAAGCACCAGACCTGGAGGCAGAGATCAGGCTTCTTGGCCTGGTTTGGCAGTCGTTAGCTCTGGACATGGGTGAGCCAGGGGACACCACCAGACCTTGGGTTCTCCTCTGTAAAATGAAGAAGTTGGGCTATAAGCAGGAGAAATTGTATCATTTTCTCTCCTAGCTCCAGTATCTGCATAAAGCTACAAGCCTTTCTACCTCACCATCACAATCTCTAGGCCAAAAGGGGTCCCTCTAAGATCAGTTCAGGTCAAATACAGTTTCAATCCTCATTAATTTTAGGGTAGAGATTAGAAACATGAAGAAACCTTAAGGAAATAGAAGAAAGCAACTGAAATATGTATTTTTTAAGTGATTGATTCTGATCTATTTCTCAAGAAAAAGGGGAGGGCAATAGAGTGAACTTAGAAGAAAGAAATACCGAAATGTCAATGTAATATATATTCAGAAATTTATCCTAAACTTTATGCTTTGTTAATACTTTGAAAGTCCCAGAGTCCTCAATAAGAGCTTAAAATTTGTACTCATGTCTCTGAAAGAGTGTTATCACTACCTGAAAATTTCTAAAAGCCTTCTCTCTCTCTCTCTTTTTTTTTTTTAATTTTCTTATGTTAAATCCATGATTTGTGATTCCCAACAATGGAATACTAATGGATGCTCAAAAAACACTAACTGCCCATTTTTTTCCTAATTACAAAATGTACTAACTCTTTAGTGAAAACATTAAACATGATGTCATTTTTAAAGTGCCAGACTTTCAATTTAAAGCATTGCCACGAAATAGATGGCTTATTTAGTTTACAAATAGCGACACAAAAAGGTTCTTCTGTGTCTTTAAGTCTGCTTAACATTTGTGAAAGCACTTCTTTCTCACACTTAAATATCGGAGACTACTGCCCCCCAGTTTATTACCTTATCTCAACTGTATAATTTTCTTAAATAGAATTCAGAGAAATAGTCATAGATTTAAATTTTTAAACACTAATTTATAAAAGCATTGGTTGATTCCCATAAAACAGCTGGTAGTCAAACTGGACAAGATAATGAATTGACTGAGATCATTGTTCCATCTTCATCCAAGAAAGCTGCCTCTAAAAAAAGATCTTAAATTGCTATAGAAATCCAATTTGTAAGAGGCAAAAGAAGCATATAGATGGGAAACACCAGCCATGATCGCATTAATTTTATGACTAACGGCATTGCTTTGAAGTAAAGAAGAAAAAGAGAAAAGATGACAAAAATAATAAGTCCACTCCAATCCCAATTTTAATCTAACAACCCAGCCAGAAGAAAACCAGCTACAAATACGAAGTTCACATTGTAGGGTTCCAGTGAACATCACATCCCCACGAAATAATTTCCAGCTTAATCAGAAGCAAACTCCAATGCTAAGGAAATACTACAGGATACTGATGCATCATTGCTGAAAAGTAAATTATAGTAAGAAATCAGGAGACTGGGAACTTGACATCGGGTACAAATAGCCATAGAAACTCCATGATTGATTGGTTTTGAATGTGCAGGTGTGGGAAATAGTTCAACTTACTAGAATTGAAAAGCTACACAGGAAAAGTCTCTGACAAACTACCATTTGTTTAAACATCTAGTCAAATAAAAGCTGCAACATAACAGAAATATAGAAGTAAAGGCATGGTTTCCACTTTTTTTGTGGGAATGTTATACGCTCAGGTATAAAAATTATATAAAGTCACCACTGACTTCTAATTGACAATTTATGGATGTCCACAATTTACATTCAAAAACAGTTGACTTGGAGGTATTATCAATTGAGCAAATATGTTTTAGCTGAGTAAAGTTGAAAAATAAAAATTGTTACAAATCAGTAAGAATTTTAAAATAACACATCTATATAAAATGCTACAAGCAAAGGAAAATGAGAAAAATCTATGGGGACACACAAATGAGTTCTTTTATTGATTTCTTTTTAAGTTTTAAAACTAAAGTAATAGCTGATGTTCAACAGCATCCTTCCTCGGGGAATAAACACCTAGGTTTGGAGGTGGAAAAATGGTTTTATTGTTCTGCTTTTAATTTTTAGGTTTCTTTTTAAAGAATTCCTTTCTTATTGAAATTTAAATAGTTATTGAAGTCATTCATGAAAGCTCGTGGAAAGGGGAAAGCTTACCTGACACATTACTTAACATGTTTCATAGCTTCCCCACCATGCAGTTCACATGCTCATGAACATATTTCACCCCAGAAATAATGGTCTTATTCACAAAACACACACACACACACACACACACACACACACACTTCCACATAAAATTCTACAAGTCCCAGGCAACGTTAAAATTCCCGTGCAAAATCAGAATTCCATTTCTGAATTCTACCTATGAAAATACAAGAGTGGTCCCATTTAACCAAGTGCAAAGTTCTCTCTCTGCTTAATAAGCATAATAAACATCATCTTACCATTATCTGTTGAATAAAAGCAGCAACGTGTTGCTTCCTGCAGTCACCAAATCAAGTTTTTTCTTCCTTTCTTTCTAGTAACTTCTTTTTCACCAGCAAGATTAGGAAGAAAACAAACCTTTGAGCATTTGCCTCAGTATTTCAGATCAGAAGATTGTGTAACTAGCTCTTAGCAAAAAAAGAATAGGTCTGGTATTTCACAATTACTTCTGCAACCCAGAGGTACCTCCTGGATTCTCGTTCCTCCTTTCCTCCTTCGTTCTCTAAGTTTCTTTTAGTAATGAGACTAATTTTTCCAGTCGCCTTGAACTCCCTAGATCTAACTGACATGGAAAATGTGACTAAAAATTGGTAGAACTGTCTAGCCTCCAATCCTACACAGAATCAACTTTGTTGTGTTGAAGAACACCTCGCAAGCAGCTACATGCTCAGTTTATACTCCTGCACTACGCAGCACAGAACACCAAATAACAGTGCGCCATCTAGTTAGCAAGCTGCAATCTCCATCCTACAAGGGGGGACACTTTCAAACCCTGGGAGTTAAGAACTTGTCAGGGGCTCAACTGCTCTAAAGGTCCAATTGTTTATTTAAATAAAAAAAAATATCGCTACTGAGATAATCCACATCTAGTGGATATGGGAAAATTTAGGTTATAATGGCACTACAAACTTTTACATCTAACTTTGATTTACAAGATAAAAGCAAGTTTTAAATTAAAAGGGCTTTCTGTTAATAGAGCTTATTATTCTGAAGACGGGAATGATTTTCTTCGAAAGTTGTCCCTGGGTGCATGCCTATTATCTTTGCTTTTCCCCTTCCACTAATGAGCATTTATCTAAAGAGCCTGTTAATCCTCTGATGTGTGCTTCTGGTCAGAGGTAACAGTTTGAATAAAACCACTAATCACTGATCACTAAATCACTGATCATTAATCACACTCTCCAGTGCCCGTGACCGGGCCATTTTTTCCTGAAGGTCTATGCATCACAAACAAGAAGTTCAACATTCTTGATGCACATGTATTGTGTGGGGGTTATGCTATTGCATCTCTAGATGTGAATAAATGATAAATACTGCCACGAACTTGGGGGAAGGATGTCAATTAGACCCCAGACAGGAGTTTCACAAATGCCTACCCTACAGCATGGCTTTCACTTTGAAGAAAGTAGATCTGATTATAACAAAACATGTGTTCTTCAAGAAATTCCCACATATTCAGAATATAAATTTTCCTTTATTTTTCACCAACTGCAAATCAGAGAGCACTCAAATCCCCTGTCCCCCTCCATTCAAAACTCTGTTAATAAAATTTTTATTTAATTTCTGCTGCACACCTCCTTCCCTCGCCGCCCCGCCAAAAAAAGTTCTTTTTACTTTCATCCCTTGAACAAATCATACACGGGGTTTTTATTTCAACTACCAGATACGCAGATTCTGATTCAATTCAATGACTTACGTATTTAACTTCCTCTTTATATATAGAAACTTAAGGTTAAGAGCTAGAAAGTAACACACGCACCAATTTACTGTATGGTACTTTAGCTTCCACGACTCACATTCCCTCACTTTGGAAATGAAATGTTTAATCTTGATCCTTTCAGCTGCACTCTATTTAGTCAGCAACCGCGCTTCTCGGTCTCCCCGCTTCCGCTATGGGGTTCCAGGCAGGCGCTACGTAAAGTTAAGTACTTTGTTCGCAGTGGGCGTATTGCTTTCCTAAGTCAGTCACCACCGCGGGGACACAGTAGGGTCATAACGCTTCTAAGCGTTTCCTGAGATGCCTTTTCTATCAGCGCTTAGCATTGTCGTCCCGGAGAAGAGGGCTTGCTGATGCCTTTCTTAAATAATGGAAAAGGGCAGATTGTGAGCTGGTCAGGTACTGAGGTCCCCTCAGACACCAGAAGCTCTTACCCACACTCCAGGGACAGTGTTCGCCCCGGGGAAAGCTGTAAAAGGCGGGGGCGGAGCTAGAGCGATAACGGTGTGGGCGGGGGAGGGGTGGAGAAGGAGGGGTCGGGAAAGGGGGCAACATAGATGCCCAGGGAGCCGGCGATTGCACGAGTACGTGGGGAGGGGGGGGCTGGTGGAAAGCAGATTGCTTTGTCAGCATTCTAAGCTACTGAACCTTTGAGTATCTGAAGCCGTTAATCAAACACTTACTGGCCTGCAGAATGACGTAATGGACCTGTATCCAGCCTTTATTCCTTGACACATGTCAGAGAAGGAGGGAAAAATAAAAATCAAACACACTCTGCAGACTCTGACAAGGACATATACAAGCAGCCCACTCCAGTTCCCGGCCTTGAACAAGCATCAAGTGGGCTTGTCACCCGTTCACGGAAAGTTGGGGGGGTGGACAAGGAGGGCTTTATCTACCAGACACCCCCTGGAAATTAATCTGTGGCAAAGAAGAAGCGGGATGCAGCCTCTGGGAGAAAACATCTCCTTGGCTCCTTTGCGTCTTGCCCCTCTAAGAACTTCGTGAAAGTTTAAACGGTTCTGCCGAGAATCTGCCGCAGAGGAGGGCTCCGCCGCCGGGTCCTGGGAAGTGCCTGGGTGCCGCTGCGGCTCGAGCCCGAGCTGTCACTTGGGGCAGCGGCGGGGAAGAGGTAGTGATGCCAGCGAGAAAGGAACCGAGGCAGGAGGCGGCTGGAGAAGGGAACGCGAGCAGAGAGAGCCTCGCGACTCTCCAGCCTGGAGCGCCTGGAGCGAAAGCCAAGCGCCCTCCGAGGGCGACCGCCCCTCGCCGGGCGCGCGCGCCCACCAGCTGCGGCGGCCAGCCCTGCGGGAGAGGTGGCACCGGCAGGCTCGGCACCCCGGAAGAGGGCGAGCCCCCTGCGCGCTCTCGCGCCCGCCCGCTAGGTGACCCGGCATCCTCGCCGCGCCCGCTGGAAGTTTGCAAACTTTCTCCGGGGGTTCCGCCGCATCGCTGGGAAGCTGGGGACGCAGCGGGGGGAGTGTTCCTGTCTCTCCGTCTCCGCTGCCGCCGCCGCTGCCGCCGCTGCCGCTTGACCGCACTTCTGGAGGGTTCCGCACCTTGCCAGGTCTCTGGAGGCAAACACACACCCCCGATTCATAACTGTTCCCCGTGTCAGGGAAACTCACGCGCGCTCCCACACACGCACGCACGCCGGGGCGGACACGGCGCTTGCTCCACGTTAGCATCCCTCCGGTCGCACGGCGCGGCGGCCACCGAGACGCGCTCCGGGACTGACACGGCGTGGGGTCTCTGGGGTGGCCTCGGGACACAGCAGAATTCCATAGTCCACCAGCAGTTGGGGCCGGACTTCCCTCTGGTCCGCCAAAATGTTTACAAACACGGATCACCCTCCAAAAAAATGCATCGCATCTTCCCTACTCCTTGCCCTGTGACCTGCCCACTGGACCAAGTAACCTCGCGGCTGCCGCCGAGAACCAACCCCTGCAAACAAGTACGCTCCCGAGATGGCTCCCGCGGCAAGTGCAACAAAAGTGGCTAAATGCAAAAGCCCCAGAAGTGGCCGAGCCGTATTTTTAGGAACTTACCAAACAAGTGTGGAGAAGGCAAGAGCGGAGCCCGGGTGAAGGGACCACGTTGGACTGAGCAAAGATTACAATACATTCTATTTAGAGTGCATTACATCACCCCCCCGGTGACGTCACGTGGGATTCCTGAACTTCTAAATCATTGCGGTCCGCGGGGGAGGGAGGGAGAGGGGCGGGGCCGGCGCGTCGAGGGGGCAGGCCCCGCCCCGGTCCCGCCCCGCCCCCGCCCCACGAGCAGACCCTGGTGCACCCGCCCCGGAGCGGCGGCGGCGGGGGCGACCGCGCAAGCAACAGCTTGCAGAGCCCAGCGCCGTGTGACACCGCTCCCTGACATTAGTGGTGTGAGTCAGCTTGGAAACAATCCTCAGGGTTTCAGACAGGACCACGGAGGAGGCGCGGACACGGGCTCTTCTTTCGGGAGGGCCTGGTGGGGTTTGAAAGGTGTAGGGCTGGGGGTCTAGGGGAGAGATGGGGAGGGAGATGCTGAAAGCTGTGGGGAGAGACTTCCTGCAAACAGAAATGCGGGACGCTCCTCCCTCCCCCCACCAGAAGGTGTCCAGCTCCTTTTTGCCTGCGACAGGCGTGACCTCATTACAGTGTTCCCTGCATCCTGGCTTCTCAGAGCACTCACTTGTCACCCCTTCTTCACCGCCCCCACTTCACCTCACCTCCAAGGAAATAACTTCCTTATGGTGCACACTCACATGAAATACACAGCCCCCACCCGTTCCAAGACCCCCGCTCCAAGTGTCGGAGAAGCTGGAGGGAGAGTTGCTCCTAAGGAGAAAGGTGAATCACGGCTAGAGCCAAGTGATGAGCCTGATTTAGACTCAGCGTCAGAGCTGAAAGAGCCTTTGGCTATCACTTCCAGAGTCTCCTCCGGTAACTGGCCCAAGCTTACCGGCTGGGAAGTGGCAGAGCCAGGGCCAGAATGCAAGATCCGGGCGCCTGATCTGCCGCGGGAAAGGAGCCTGGCGTCTTCAGCTTTGGCTGATCACCATCGCTATCACCACCCCCCAGGTGAATTTCCCTTAAGAAGTTCTCCCGGTGAGTAGGATTCAAAGGGAAGGCGTAGGCTAAATTTCAGCCCGATTCTAGAAACCCACTGTCATCTTTGCAGCAGCTTGTGCTTTACAAAGCACGTACAACCACGACAACAAGCCGGGTACGATAAGGAAAAGTAGGACAGGTGTTAAAATTATCCCATTTTACAGGTGTGCTAAGGCGGACTCCAGAAGGTTAGGGGGCTGGCCTGAGATCACTTGATAAACAAGGAGTGGCACTGGGACCACTCCAACCCCTGTTTTCAACCCCAAATCCCAGCTGGGCTCCTCTATAGAACCAGGGGTGAGCGTTCCCTTCTTGTGGATTATTGGTAGTTAGAACCTCTACTAAGAACATATTGGCCGGGAGATGGGGCTTTGGTTAGAAACCGTTTAGCCCTCATTGACGAATAATAATCATTCCTGACATTTATGTAACATCTGACATTTATATATTACTTCTCATCTCCACTCATCACAACTGTGACTGTGCAGTTTGCCAGAGAATCATGACTGGACTGGCTAGAAATTGTAGTGCTTTGCCTGGATTGTCACATACTTCTGAGCTGGCTTTGACATACTAACTGGAAAGGCTTTGTATTTTCTTTCTGTTTTTAAGGGTTTAAATGTTCCCTCCTCTTTGGTGTTCCTTGAAACCTCACAGCCTTACTCAGAACTCATTACTCAGTTTTCTACTTGTTCTTTTCCACGGATTGTCCTGAAGGAGCTGCAGAAGAAGGGCTCCAGTCCTAACCTGAATCTTAACCAATAAAACTTTAAGTATGACAGCTCAATCACCTGGGTTTATGGAAGGAAGCAGTAGCAGACCCAGAAAGTTTCCCTGCCCACATTCCAACTCGATTACCAGAATAGCCTTTTCTACCTCCCTCAAAGAAAAATGTGAGCCAGTGAAGGAGAAAACTAAAGGTAAAAAAAAGGGATATAGCTCAACACATCAGAGCTCAGCGTAAGAGCTTATCTTTCCCCCCAGCTGATATGTGTGGACCAAAGAAATCAAATGGAGACTGGAATAAGCAAAGCCAGGGTGATCAGCAAACATTTAATTCCCAGAATTCTCTAAATAGAAGCATATATATGTGAGTTTTAATGCAACTAGTTCATCATTTTCTAATACTATCCAAATCATTGATCAGTCTTTAAAAATTATTGCTGACCTTCTGTTTGATACTCTGCGACTAAACAATGCCCCTGTCTGAACCGTGATGTGACATAGAAACACACATCAAACTTTTCCAATGACTTCCCAATAACTTGATAATCATCAGGGTGCTTGGATTCTCAATAAGTAGAGAGTTTCTTTTAACATCAGCAGTTTTGTTCATGGTGCTAACCTCAGCTTCTGCTGAACCCATAGCAATTTCATTCAAAATGTTTCTAGCCATTTTATTACAGACTGAGATTTTTATGTATTTCAGATCTGTTACCAGCTAAATCACACACACACACACACACAAGACTTTTCTAAATGTAAATTGAAGAAGAGAGGTGGTATTTATGATGTGGGGACTCCAATGTCAGTCTGAATTCAAATCCTGGCTCTGCTACTTGAGTTTTAAATAACCTCGGAGTCTCAGTTTCCTCATCTATATAATCGGGATGGTGGTGATTATTATAGTAATTCAAGTTAAGAATTATATTACTCAAGTTAAGAATAGTGTTTGGCACAGGGCAAGTATTAATATTAATACTATGTAAGCACTCACCCTCTTTTTATTAATAAAAATATTGTGGCTCATGCTGTTATAGGTGGGCATTCAGTAATTTTAGCAAATTAACAAAATAAATGAAAAAGGAACCTTTTACCCCATAATTCCTCCAGCCCCACACTGCTTCTGCTGTGTTGTCTGTGCCAAGCAGCCTCTCATCTGTCAAACCATGCCAGCAAAGCCCTCACGTTTGTGTACTAATATTCCTGCCTGCCTTGTGCTCACCCAGTCTCTTCCAGGATTTTTCAGAGCCAAAATTTCCTGGAGGCTTCAGTTGCCAGGAGCAGCCATGCAAGGGGATCTCTAGGGGAACCTTAGCTGCTGGTGGCCATGGCCTGGGGCATTTGACCTCTGGGGAGCCAGGACCACCACCAGGAATGCCAACTCACCCACCCATTATGGCCTTTGGGTCATGTGGAGCCAGGGACCCTTATACCAGAACCAAGATAACTGGCTGGAGTACCACCTACCCAAGGTCCTCCCCAGTCTCACCCCAACCCCACCTACAGGGTAGGGATACAGGCAGGGAATAAGCCAGCCCTTGAGCTACCACTGGTGGTGTCAGGGAGGTTGGACCTGTGGGGAGGGGGGGCTGACTGGCACCTACACTAACCAATGAGAATAGATGAGACCACCTGCTAGACCACAGGTTAACCCTTTAGTTGCTGGATCATGGGGCAGTGGAAGGGAGTGGCCTGGGCAGCTGGGCCAGTAGGGAAGCGCTGGATATTCACCAACACCTAAGAATTTAAATATTTTAACAAATTGGTAGCCTTACTAGTACATGTCCACTGAGTATCAGGCCTGAATAGAGCCACCCCAAGGGGCCTCAGATGGGAAGAAATCCTTTAGCCCTGTGCTTTGGATCCAGTCATTTCCCTGACATTCAACAAACGTTGGCAGAGCTGCCTCGTGCTGAGGATTAAACATTTGAAAGAGGTTCCCTCCTTCCTACTTCCTAGGCTCCCACAGGAGTTCTTAAACTCCCACAAAAGTTCTCAAACTTAGGGGAGGAAGCAAAAAACACCTGGGCGACTTCTTAAAGGTAGTTTCTTGTGTCAGTCTTACCCAGGGTTTTCAGTTCTAATGTTTGGCATTGGGTCCAGGATTCTGCATTTGTGATTTTAATGCAAGCATCTGGAGACACCCTCCCCCCGCCACACACATTCACGCACACACTCATGCACGCATGCACACATGCACTTTGAGTGATTCCGGTTTAGGAAGTTCACAAATGGGCAGTCACCCAGGAGGAAGCTGGCGAAGGAACAGGAAAAGGGTCAGCCTGCCACACTCAAAAATATGACCCAAGGTTCATAGGCTTAAGACCAGTCCTCTAGCAGCTTCCCGTAAAGACGCACATACCTCTAGAGAAGGCTTCTCCTCATGCCTTCTGCACACAACGCTCAGAGTGACCTTTCCCTGTTAATTTTTTCATTTGAGGCTTTTCTTACCTGAGCTAACAGTCATGGTGGGAGGGGGGCTGCTGCAGCCCACTTAGGGGTTAAACCTCTAGCTATGGCCCCACTGGGCAGTTTCTGTCCCTTCTAAGATGGATCTTCACCAGGTTTCTTCATCATCTATTTGAAGGGATAAAGATTTCCAGATAAATGGAACTGTAAAATGCATCTGAAGACAGTCAAAACCATGGTATGGTTAGCTAACATTTACCAAGCATTTACTCCACGCCAAGCCTTGAGCTAAGGACTTTGTGTGTATTTTTCTCAGTTAATCCTCACAGCTCTGTGAGGCGGCTGGAACCATTCTCATTTTGCAATGAGGAAATCAAATTTTAGAGAGGGCAAATAACTTGCCCAGGATTGCACAGCTGGGGCATGGCTGAGCCAAGAGAAGATTCCACATCACCGGTGCCTGTTCTAGTGCCTGCCCCAGAGGCAGCCCATGCTATGGTAGTGCTGAGGCCAAGTGAGTCTGAGGATGCGAGAACCAGGAAAGCTGAGAGCAAGCCAGAGACTGGCACCGAGTGTAGAAAGCCACCAGCCTGTACCCACACTCTGTGTCTGGTTAACCAAGAGCTGCTCCAGACAGGGCCTGTTTCATGGCCTGCAAAGCCTGGTCACTCAGGGCCTCATGCTTAGAAGGGTCCCATACTTGGTTTAAGGCTCTGCTGTTGCTGTATCAAAATTCTTAATAATTTTATCTTTGAACTTGTGCTTTGCAAATGAAGCTAGGAGACGGATCACATGCATGGCAGAGGAGATTCATGTGCTGTGCATGTCTGTCCTTCCTTGCCCCTCCTGCTTGTGAGCACAGAATTCTGGTGGACCCAAGATGCATGAGGGTTCAGCAAGACTCAAATCAAGTACCAGGTTACACCTCTGACTGAGTGGGATGAAGTATGAGGATGGGCTGACAGCCCTGAGAGGACATGCTTCCCTTTCAAACCAAAAACTTTCATGGAATGCAGGAAAAAGGCAACGGCATTTCAAGAAACACAATTGAGGACCCCATCGTGCTAGACCCTTGTATTAGGCAAGTACATACACTGAAAATGATGACATAGAAGAGTAAGATGGGGCAGCCCATAGTTCCTTTTCCTTTCTGTCTTTCCTTTCTGCAGATAACAGAGTTGGCAGAGTGTGTGCACACCAAGAAGTAAAATAAGGTCAGTTGTGATTGTTTTGTGCAGTGTATCCACAGTTCTGGTTAGAACAAAATACATACCAGCTACGGAGTACAGATTGTGTGATTAGAGCAATTTCACACACATCAGCTGATCTTATATTTACATTTAAAACTGACATTGTACAATATAAAGGTGAATGCTGAAATTAGTGCTAATGGAGTATAATAACATTTTGATTTTTTGTTACTTAAAACGACATTAAATAGCAAATAAACCACACCGTGACAAGTCAAGAGATTGACTTTAGAAGAGAGGAAAAAACTTTCTATTTAATATCTTTCATGGCACTTTTTCCCTGCCTGTTTAACAAGAAGCCCTGCATTTTGGTTAGCACTGGGTTGGAAAATCATGTGTCAGGGCCCTGCCCACAGACATATGACTGATGCAGTCTACCTTGCTCCCAGTTCCACGCTCACCATGCTGACAGCAAAGCAGCAGATTTGACAGCCTCAGCTTTGTGACTTCCTAGATGTGTGACCATGGCCAGTTTTTTAACCTCTCTGAACTTCAGATTTTTCATTTATAAAATGGAGATAATATCAGCATCTACCTCCCCGGATATTGCAAGGATTAAACGAGTTAATATATATAAACTGCTTAAAACAATGCTTAGCACATAGTATTTACTGAAAAATGTGTTAGATACTATTGTACCTCATAAGCTTTGGGAAAGAATTTAATAAAAATAATTCAGTACTTAGCACTGTGCCTGGCATTTAGAATGTGCTCATAGTATTATGTAATAATTAGTTACATAAAATTGCACGTAAGATGTAATATTGAAGTTCTATGGATTAGAATAGAGGAATAAATCCAATTAGTCCTCAAATTGAAGGTCTTAGTATAAGCTATTTGTAATTGAAAGAGATGGTACCTTTAGATAAATAAATTTGCACTAAGTTCGTAGGCGACAGAGCAATTTTATACAGGCTGATGTTCTAGTTGAAGCCATCACAATTTATCCTTCTAGTCTTGACATACAAATGCATTTTTACACCAGTGGTTGTATAATTATTGACTTTAGTATGGTTTAGAGTTTCTAGAATCACATCCTGAAATCCTAACAGGTATAACTCAGAAATACCATGCTCTTGCATTGGCAGGGGGGATGCATATGAACTTCAAAATGTTGTTTAACAAGGGACAGTCAGGGCCGGGCGCGGTGGCTCACGCCTGTAATCCTAACACTCTGGGAGGCCAAGGCAGGTGGATCGTTTGATCTCAGGAGTTCGAGACCAGCCTGAGCAAGAGCGAGACCACGTCTCTACTAAAAAAAATAGAAAGATTGATCAACAACAACAACAAAAAAACAGGTACACAATGTCAAGCTTTTTCCTTTTCCTTTTTTTTTTAAGAGCAGCTCAATGATTTGGGGGGTTGGTTAATATAATACAGAGAACATAAGGGAAGAGTACAGAATGGCACTTAACACCAATGCCAGTATTTATCTCATTATGGAAATGTAATTCAACTGAGTGGAGTATCTTATCAAATTCTTGACTTAGTATTACTAATGGGCACAATTACACAATGAGCAATTATCAGATTATGCCTTTTGTTGATACTTATGACATCTAAATTACTGAATAAATTATTAATTCATTAATCAGTTAATCATAAATTGTGATTAAAATTATCAAATGAATTCTCAGCATTAATCAAAACTGTGTTGAAACATGTCTACCTAGAGAAGTAACACTCTACAAATATCACTAAATAATTTAGCTATAGTCTTTTTAAGCATTAAATTATACATCAAGTAGTCAAAGTGAATTTGAGAGTAAAAGTAAGGTATATTTTCTAAGCAACATTGATAATTTCTTAATTTGCAAATTTTTTATTGCTTATTTTAGGACTTGGGATAGTTTAAGATTTTTTGTTTCTATTCTTGTATCTTCTTCTACCACATAAATACATTGTTTGACAATTATAGAATGCAAATATTTTTAAATGCATTTAAGAATTTGGTATAAAAATCGATTGGTGCAGTGTATTATTTGTACTA